AAAAATATGAAAAGTGTCAAATAGACTACTTTTACCACTTTTTCTCCACATGAGTGATCAGTCACATGACAAATGTTCATTAAAAACCAAGCACCAATTAACCAGTTTCTGAGTCCCTGCCCCAGCCAAGAAGCTGCTCTATACAATGAAAGTGAATGGTGACCAAACTCCAAAAATGACAAAAAACACTCTTAAAGTAGTCATCTAGTCTGTCTAGGATGAGTAAACGCTGACAGAATTTTCATTTTTGGACAGCCTACCCCTTTAATTTAACAAAGAGTTGGTAGTTAGAGGTTTGAGGGGAGTGCGCATTGTTTTATTTGCTGAAAGGACAAAATCTCACATGCAGGACAAAAAAAAAGAAAAGAAAAGAAAGAAAAATGAAAACCACTGTCTATACTGCAGATTCATTACTTGTGCTTAGATTGTGAGCTGCACGAAAGACCAAAATAGAGCTGAATAATATGTGCAAAGCAGTTTTTTGAAGTCGTGCTATATGCGCAATAAGGTGCCAGAGGACGGGACCTTTGTCTTGCCAGCACTTGTGTTTAGGACTCATCACAATGTCATCTGCTCCTCTTCACAAAGCAGAAGGAGAAACAAATATCCCCAAAAGTATAGAGAGCCAAATATCCCCAAAAGTATATATACTTTTGGGGATATTTGGCTCTCCTTCTGCTTTAGTAAAACCTGAAACTACCACTGTGACTTGAGAAATAGCTTAATAAACATACTAAATGCCTTAATATCCATCATTTCTGCTCTGTTCTGAGCATATTAAAGTTAAGCTATAACTCGTTGATATCTCTCCTGAAAAACATTGCAAAGCATCAAATGCATTCTGGTGTGAAATGTGGAGATATTCGAACCACTTACATAAGTTTCATGGCTCACTGGTTCATTGTAATGGCTGATTATAATATTAAAAAGCAAATTATGATGAAAAAAAATTATCAGATGTGAATGACAGTATGTGTTGACAGGTTGCCTGGAGAATTGCCAAAATATAATGGTGGTTAATTTGGAGGAAAATTGTATTCTTAGTAAATCGGGTGTGAATGAACAAATCTGCAGTAGAGCTAGACATTTGTTTTCCACTTAGATAATCTTAAAAGAAAGCAAGTGATTCCCAAACTGTTAAATTGGTCCCTAATGAATAAGATTGAGCCTTAATGATGTGAATCATCTTAAAAGTTTGTGTTTTGTCTTCACCATTAAATCACGTTACCTTTAAAGTGTTAACGTTATGATTCGCTGTGATTAGATGACTCGAATGAATCATACGACTTTCCCATAGTCATAGACATCATTTTAATTAGCCTGTGCTCATACGATTGATGAATGATGTTATAATTTGTTAACACTGGTGATGTGTAAAACGATTAAATCATAGATGAGCGATACAAATGTTTTCGATTGACGACACCACAATCTCCAAAACTTACCAGCACGTATAAAACAGGCTGTAACAGGGGGCAGCTTCTTCAGACAGAACCTATAAACACCATCAACGGCTAAATGTTCTAATTCAAGATTCATTCGATCTGCTAAATGACAATACTTAATCCACTTGCTAAGCACAATGATGTAGAGCAGCAAAACAGTGTCAAATGCTGAATCAGGTTTCAAAGGCAGCCGGCAGGCATGGACACTCTCCAGGTTTATTGAAAGTGGAGGCTGCATCTATCCAAAGCTCCAGATCTCAGCAGATTTGCAAGTGCTGTGTCATTTAGCCCTGAGCGCACGGGGCAGGGGGAGATCAATCAGGGCCCTATCCGGCCAACTGTCGTCCTTGATTTGCAGTACCAGCGTCCAGCTGTTGGGTTTGGGAAAAAATAATGGCTGATTGGACTCTGTGGCATCTTGGCATTGGGGAACAATTCAATTTCCCCGTGATGGATGGTCAAAGAGTGCCGTTCCTGAGACACTGCAGCACGCTGCTACAGACCCAACACAGACCTGAAAAACAGTAGCGAGACAAGGGAGCGTTTCCAGGCATTCGAGCTCACTGCCAAAAAGCCACTGCAATGCCAGATGAGAGTTCCCTGATTCCCAGATGAGAGAAAGCCATGTGCTGTTTTGACCCAAAAATTAGATGATCGTGATTCATCTAACTTCATTTTCTGGATCTCTAAAAAAAATTCTGACATAATTGATTGTAGCGACAAAAAAAAAAAAAACTCACATAGACTAAAAAGAATCTCCATCCAAAGCCAATAAAGCATCATGTTGATGGAGCTGACCTTGCAATTCTTGCAATGTGAATGAAGTATTAAATGTTACTGCTTGCGTGTTTATTCAAACAAGAAAAATGTATGTATTCAGACAAATTCAAGCAATTCACATCGCAAAGTTAATTAAATTAATCAAAGCCAGCCATGCAAGCTTTAACTGAATTGGTGTTGAACTGGATTCCAAACAGCCTGTCCAAAGTAAAAACCAGATCCAGTCTATTACCAGCCAACTAAGAAGTTTCAGAGTTATTCTAAACGCAATGCTGCTTTTTATTTACACCCATGAGAGTATATAAAACACCCCGAGCTGAGTTTAAAAAGGCAAAGCATAGTACACTGAAATACCCTTAAGATAGAAGTTTAAAATCTCTGACTTTGCAGACAGACACATAAATCACCATGTAGCACAATCCCTGCTGAAATATCCTTCATTTACACCAGCAGGTATTAAATAGAAGAAAGTATGGGGAAAAAACAATGCTCAGCATTTTCATAAAAGAACAAAGAGACACACAGTTACTAATGTATTTGCCTTTATTGATGTCAAAATGTATTTTTTCCACCTGATCAATAGCGATAGCAACTGGTTTATCTATTTAAAACTAGATCTTACCTCATGATTTATCGCTTAGATTTTATAGATAACTAGAAATTCAACAGTGTATGCCGCAGACAGATGTCAGAGCACAGAGACAACTTGTTTTGTTCCCTTCTCTGCTCAAGGGTACATCAGTAGAAAAAAGTCGAAATATCCTGAATGGAATTTGAACAGTTCTTCCCGTTCATGGTGCAGAGCTTGTACCATTATTAACCTACCTATTCCTGTAATCAGTGTGTAACCTATTACATTTCCAAAGTAACCTTCCCAACACTGCCTGTAATCAAACTTTGCCAATGTGCTTACGCATTTGCAACCGTCTTATATCCACTCACATTAAACAGCTGTAATAATCCTCAGTTTGTCTGTCAGTTTGCAATGTGCAAAAAAAACTTTTTTAAATTCAGGCCTCAACATACAGTGTTATTGCAAAGTTGCTTTTCTGCATTCTTAAGACAGATGGTCTTATTCAATCAGAAGATAACAAGGGATAAACAGATCAGAGAGTTTATTAAACTGCACTGGGCATCACGTTTGCTTTCGTCTCAATGCAGGCTCCTGAGTCACAGGGAAGCTGATTAACTTGTTTGTAGCGGTAATATAAACACAATGAATTGTTAATAGTTTCATGGCTACAGGAATCTCCACCAAACAAGGGCGTAGATTTGGAGTGATCACTGTGTCATAAAACGTTCATGTGCTATTTTTAATTATACTGAAATATCCACATTTTTGGTGTGGTCTGTTTAATAGTACTGTGGGGAGGCAACCATCATAAAACCTACTCTACTACAACCAAGAATTTGCAGTAGTAAACAATATATAAAAAACTATATATAAATCTCTCTATTTTGAGCTTTTTATTTCTATAAGTACATTTTTCAACCACATAAACAAATGTTGCCAATTTGTTCTTATAATTACTTTGAAAAAATATTAATTTGAACAATTATGGCTCTTTAGAAAATAAATGGATGACAAAAGCACAAGAGTAACTGTAAATAGTGCACAAGACATCATGCAGTAACACAAACAGAACACAATACAACTAATATTGTCTGGTCCCTGTGTTTTTGAGGTTCCATGTGTGCTTTGTACTATATATTTGTCCTTATCTCAGAAATTAGTCGATGTCAGTGTGTATGCGCTTCGTTTATATCGTCTTGTTCTGTCATTTATGGAAGGCTTTTTCAAAAAATGATCATTCAGTTTGTGCCAAAAAAAGTCTTGACTGCTTTGTACAATACATTTGTCTTTGTCTGCTGTTATGTTGTTTTATCTGTGTCGTCTTCCCTGTCGTGCATTCAGCTCGATTTTATGCTTTATAACTGAATGTTCTCAGTGAATCTTCTGCAGTGCATTTTACAGATATCAGGACAGGTAAACAAATAGAATGTTAAGATTTTTTCTCAGTAATGAGTTTTCTCAAACTTTTAGATGCGTTTATCTTTTTGTTCTATAAACTTTAATAAAACTATAGTCCTTAGGTTTTATATTTAAGCTTTGTCATATTCAGAGTTTTAGGAAGATGAGAATTCGTTTAAAAAAACTAAACAGATGACAACGCAAGCAGACGACAGGGACGACGAAACAAATAAAACATAGGCAATAATAGCAGACACAGATACTGTTATTGCCATATTTGTTAGGTTCCACAGCTCTCTGTTGTCTTCCTGTCATAGTAGTTTTAATGCAAATCTCTGTTTCAAGTTGTTGCTGTTTTAATGTTCAGTTTCATAATAGCTACATTTCAACATCACTTGCCTAAGCAACAATGAATGCAGAAATCTGACTGCTACATGTCAGATCTTTAAAGCCAGACTATTTAGATTCCAGTTCATTTCTGACCCTTCTGCTGTTTATCCAGATGTCTACTAAATAAAATTGTGGTTTTCTTCATTCAAAAGGAGCTGTTAGGCAAACTGATACTAACTGAGTGAATGAGAGCATCTTTTTATCTGTACAATTAAAGTAGTGACTGACGCTGTCATTCTTACAGGTTTTTGTGAATTTACAAGGGGAAACACTTTTTCTCAATGGTAACGCGTGGCACTTCCAGTTAAGATGTTTCATTGGTAGGTGGGCGGAGCTTTATTTGCGTCGGCGGTGACGTTATTTTGTACCTCCCGTGATTGGCTTGTTTTTTTTCACCACGGCCTGCGTAAAACACCGCGTGTACAATAATATGGATGGACTTTAAACAAGGACTACTTGTCTGTAGGTTTTTCCAAATGATTTATACAGCTAAAATGTGTAACAGCGCGTATGTATAACCGCTCGGCCCTGCCTTAAAGCATCTTCAGCTACTGAGGGGAAAAAAAGATGCCGCTGTAAAACTTTTCAGTGCTAACGAGAGAAAGGGAGAGAATTGACACGATGGGTGAGGACGATAAAACGGAGTGAAGAACTTTTCTTACGGCCCTTCGTCATCAAGGAGGATGAGCATGATTACATAGATACCATCTTTTATTGGTTCAAGGAAAAGAGACACAAGTTTTGGGCGAAGTATGGCGCGAGAGACCGGAGAGTCTGGAGAAACGAAAAGTACCAAAGTGAAAAAGCATAAAAGAAGGAAAAGCAAAAAGGAGAGCAAAACCAGGATTGTACACGTCAACATTTTGTATGACCATACCAAAGGAGGGGATAACCCCAACAGACACTATGCAAACAATAAGATCAAAACCACAAAATACACTCTGCTTTCTTTCCTACCGAAGAACCTCTTCGAGCAATTCCACCGATTTGCCAACGTGTATTTTGTTTTTATAGCCTTACTGAATTTCGTGCCTGTGGTCAATGCTTTTCAACCAGAGTTGGCTCTTGCCCCTGTGGTTTTTATTTTGTCCGTTACCGCTATTAAGGATTTATGGGAAGATTACAGACGACACCGCTCGGATAAAGAAATAAATCATTTGGACTGTCTCGTTTACTGCAGGTAAGCACGTGCTTGAAAACCGACTCGGTACAAAGTGCCATAAAACCACGTGTCTGTTTGTTTAGTTTTCCTCGTCGAGAATGGACACAAATGCACTTCTATGACATGATTTTGCCTTGCTGCTAAGGACCTGTGGGCCTGCCTACCTGTTGAACGAGGAGTCTCAGGATGTGTCTCATATCTCCAATGCTTTGCCTACCTAAGCGACAACATTTTAAACAGGCACCTGTTGGGAGGTTTTTCGCACTTTAAAGTTGTAATTCCAGGGTTATTTCTTCCCTTTTTTCACACTGCCAGTCAGTGTGGTAATCTGTGGTTTTGAGATTTCATTCTGAAATGCCGGTTTAGCGTTCTTATTTGCATATTTAGAATGTTAGCAATATGGACAAATACAGCACTGGACCACCTGCTTGTCCATTTGTGGAAGTGTTGCCACATAAATCTGCTTCTTTACGCGTTTGACATGTGTAACGTTTCCCTTCATACTAAATATATGAAATATTTACTGAATGAAGCATTGAGTCAGTTTCTGATTGGTTTTGTGTTGCTAAACAACTTCCAATTACTTTCCAGCATACTGTTTGTGTATGTATCATGTATCACTCAATTTTGACGCTGGGTTTAATTAACCCAGGGTTAAAAGTGATGCTCACCCCCTTGAAAATTACAAGTGTGAAACCGTTTACCTAGGCGGGAGGGAGTTTAGCCCAGGGTTAAATGCAGTATGAAAAACCCTTGGGTCCAAAAATGCGGTCTAGGTTGGCGGCAACTGATATATGAGGCTCAGTTTGGGGAGTTTGGGTTGTGGTATTAGTGTGCTGCCTTTATTTTATATTTTGGTACATTTTGTTGTGTGAAACCTCTCACACCACACTACACCCATAAGCACATAGTACTGATAAGCAAAAGAGAAGGAACAGTGTTTGAAGTTTCACACTCTGGGTAAATGAGTGCTGTCAGAGTGGCTGATATGGTTGTGCATTTCAGGCCTCAGTGTCATTCATGTGTCTTCTCTGAATTCCAACAAGTTTCTTGAATATTCAGCCATGATTGTCTTTGGAAATAAGTATAGGCTTGTTGTTATTAGGCATGTTATTTAAGTGTATCTGAGCACCTCAGATAATGTCTTTTGTTCTCTTGTTGTGTTGAGTAAAGGGTTCCTTTAGTAAGCTAAAACTTAAAAATAAAACCTATAAATAAAATAATAAAAAGGACTTGTTTTATTTTCATTCAAAATGGAAAAAGAAAAAAATCTAATTCAAAATATAAATAAGATCTATAATAGTATCTTAATTATAATACTAAAACAACACCGAGTGAGGGTTTGTTAATTTGCTCATTCGGTCAATTAAGTAAAGGATATATCCTTTCAAACTTTAAAAACTTGAGTGATTGGAGTTCAGTCCTTTCACCTTGTTGACGTTATGTGGCAAAAACATTACCCCTAATTGTGAAAGTGTGTCAGATTATCTAGCCCTGAAGATTAGCTTAGTTTCTGATCAAGTTAGACACTTTTTGCATGCTGTTCAAGTTCAGTTTTGTCCTTGGTGATAAACATAGTGTGCTCATAGTGTTGTTCACCTCCATCCACTTGAGCTACAGCTCCTTTAGCAGATAAAACGTGTCAGGAAATTTCATTTTGTACAGAAATGAAGGACGTTGTCATGCTTTCTCCTGTATTGACAGTAAAAAAATGGCCTTGTTTGGAGATCAGCCTGTCTCTCATCTGTGTTTTTGAGGGCTTCCACTTGTTTGTTTTTGGAGTCAGAGAGTCAGTCTGGGGACTGTATTTCTTGATGAAAAGCGTCTCTGTCAGCCATGTTAAGGCCATGTATCAGCTCTGTCAAAAGCCACAGTGTTTCTCAGACTCCACAATCTGAGCTTGTGCTGTATCAATGTTGCTCTCAAGGCTGGGCTTGATTGAATTTTCTCAAGCAAATTACTCTATTTTGAAAACTGTTCCTGTTGCTGACAAAGCCACACTGAATTACAGCAGATTGAATTCGCAGTATGATGTTATCCCAGCTGAACCTGATTTGACCTTTTAATATGATTGCAAAGTTTGTCACGGGAACTCACACTTGAATTACTAGTCACCGGTTGGACTGTAAAGGACACATTTCCATTTAGTGCTAATGAGTCTTAATTAGGGCTGCACGATAAATCGAAATGGAATCAAGATCGCGATTCGACAGAAGCTGCGATTGTCATGCGTATCTTTCAGTGAAGCACGGTTCTGTGATCAGCAGTAAATCTCCATCCAAAGGCCAGAGGGTGCTCTCGCGCTGAAACTCCAAATACGCCTCGCAGAAGAAACCCAGAAAATGCCTATCGCTGCAGCTGAATAAACAGAAGATTCAACTGCTTTCATTGATTCAGCGTCACTAATAAACACATGACTACGGCAATATACGGTTTATCTGAGTTTTTATTATTATAATTTTCATTAAAATAAAGTATATTTATAATGCAATGCCTTTATCACTGCTTAAATACTATGAAATATGTTGCGTGCCTTATTCTGTGTAAGAAGCCACATCATCTCACAGAAGGATTTATTTCAAACACTCGACTGACGTTATGAAGTGAGTTTGGAGTAAAAATATGTTATTAAATGTGGTATTTTCACATGCTTTCAGATGGAGCAGCATTTACTTCACAGAGCCGTAGTTCACTGAGAAGCTATGCAAAGTGCAAACAGCTGTCATTATCACGGACGATTTCAGAATCGCACCATAAAATCGTCTACGTTTTTTGTCAGTGAACTACGGCTATGTGTAGTATATTCTGCTCCATCTGAAAGCACGTGATGATGATTTCCTTTGATATTTTATAACCGATACCAATTATTTGCATGTTTATGTGCCCGATAACCGATATGCAGAACCGATATTTATTTACTGTTATAAAGTAAACAAATGACTGGGTGAAGTCCATACTTCACTTTGGTTTTTCCTCCTTCAGTCGTCTTAAGAAATGTTGAAAATTAGCAGTCTTTCATGTTAAATTTAATCTTCACATGAGCATATAGACAACAGAGAGCGAATTAAATTCAGCACTTTTATTTCCAACATGCGCCCATTCATGGCTGCATATTATTTAATTCAAGCAAAATTACGTCTTTATTGGGACAGGACATGACGGATTATTTTACATGACTCCGTGAGTTCGTCTCTATTTCTTCGAGCCAAGCTGCATAAACTGCATATCAGGCATTTATGTAATACATCTAATTTGTGCATTAATGGCTGTTATGTTAAATAAAGTTTACTAACTACAGTAAATCAAGTACCTGTGCACGCCGTTGTTGTTGTCTTGTTTCCCCTCAGATGCGCTGCAATGGTGATCCTGCGCGCAATTCTCAAAACATCCACAAGATGGCGGCGTTTATCGGTGAATCCGATATTACAAAACCGATATCCGATTATTGTAAAATGCTTAAATATCGGGAAAAATATCGGTAAATCGATATATCGGTCGATCTCTAGCCCTAGTCTTAATCATTCCAATTGTGATTTGTACAATGTGACCAGACACTTTTCTTTCTCTAGCAACTCCTCTGGGTTGACAGGATGTTTTTGTATCTGAACAATGTTTTCCACGTGTGCGTGGCATCCAGGCACTACACTCTAACTACAGACATCTGGTGCAAGTGTCATGTTACCTGATGTTATGGAAATAACCAAGTGATTTAATAGCTTGATATTGGAGAGATTTTTATATAGGAGAGAATATTTGGCCAACATTTTTCTATTTGTATTATGTTATTGCACAATGATGTAAAAGTGGATAAAATGATAAAGGAATGTGGATATTGCAGAATTTCTTCTGTCTTTCATCATGCCTTGCATCTTGCCTCATCCATGGATTAAATGTTTGACTGCACAAAAACTTCAAAACAGCTGAGAAATTATAGAAGTCATTTATTTTAAGTCATGTGGATAATATTATGGTTTGTTTTAAAAATGATTTCCCAAGCTTTCTAAGTTGTTGATTTGTCATTGTCTTTGACCTACGAGTTGTGCGTGTGTGTGTGTGTGTGTGTGTGTGTGTGTGTGTACATATATACACTATCATTCAAAAGTTTGAGGTCTGTCATATTTGTTAATGTTTTGTTAAAATCATCTCTTATGCTCAGCAAGGTGTAGGGTTGGTGTAGGGCAATAGAATATACGGTCTGTACAGTAGAAAAACCATTACGCCTATGGAGAGTCCCCACAAGCATAGCAAACCAGACATATGTGTGTGTGTGTGTGTGTGTGTGTGTGTGTGTGTGTGTGTACATATATACACTATCATTCAAAAGTTTGAGGTCTGTCATATTTGTTAATGTTTTGTTAAAATCATCTCTTATGCTCAGCAAGTCTACATTTATTTGATCAAAAATTCAGTAAATACAATAATATTGTGAAATATTATTACAATTCAAAATAGCTGTTTTCTATTTGAATATATTTTAAAATGTAATTTATTTTTGTGATGGCAAAGCTGAATTTTCAGCAGCCATTACTCCTGTTTTCAGTGTAACATGATCCTTCAGAAATCATAATGTGCTGATTTGAAGGATAGCATTTATTTGAAACAAATATTTTGTAACAAGTCTTTACTGTGACGGGATCAATTTAATGAATCCTTGTTGGAAAAAAGCATTTCTAAATTTCTTTAAAAAAATATAAAATCTAAAATTGGAAAGCTCAAATGGAAGCGTATTGCCTAATACTGTGTTTTTTATGCTTCTTATAATGTCAGTTGGATTTTAATTTCAGTTCTCCCTTGCAGTGTGATTTCCAAAACCCTCAAGGAAATCATAAGAGGCCAATAGAAAAAGTTTGTTTTCTGCTTATGGTCTCCCTTCATGGTTACCTCCATGTTAAGATTACATGACCAGTAGGGCTGTGAATCTTTGGGTAGACTTCGATTCGATTCACGATTCACGATTCATAGGTTTTCGATTCGATTCAAGAACGATTTTTGCAAATTTACAGCGATTCGATTTGATT